TCACACTGACCTCACAGCTCCTCCTCCCAATGTCCCTCCATCTAGCTTTTTTTTTTTATTAATGATGATCTTAGGATGTGGTCCAATCCTTGACATCCTCACATGCCATGCAGGACTGCTGGTTCTGTGTTGTACTTTGAGGTCAAAATGCCTTCAACAAGCTTTTACCATATGGCAAAGGGTCCTATGTGTTTACATATACCTCAGCCTGAAGTGAGACTTTAATAAATAGGTTCCTGAATGGTGAGAGTAGAAGGATTCTGGGAGGTCACATGACATCACTCTTATCTCTATTAATAAAACCACAGACCTGACCGGAGAGGTGAGGAGGATTCTGGGAGGTCACATGACATCACTCCTATCTCTATTAATAAAACACAGACCTGACCGGAGAGGTGAGGAGGATTCTGGGAGGTCACATGCCATCACTCATCTCTATAATAAAACACAGACCTGACCGGAGAGGTGAGGAGGATTCTGGGAGATCACATGACATCACTCATCTCTATCAATAAAACACAGACCTGACCGGAGAGGTGAGGAGGATTCTGGGAATGAAGTCTTATCGCACTATTCAAATGTAGATTTTTGATGTTTTTTGAATCTTGTGAAGTCTGGAGATCATATGACATCACATTGCCTCCACCTCCCTCCCTGATAGAAGAGAGAAAGAAGAAGAAGATCTAGAAGTCACCAGAGAGATCACTGAGCTGCTGACAGGAGAGGTGAGCGGTGCCGGGAATTCTGGGACATTCTCCAGTAACAGACAAGGGATGTGTCTGGATGGTGACTGTATCATTGTGTGTGTCAGGTTCCTATAAGGTGTCAGGGTGTCACTGTCTATTTCTCCATGGAGGAGTGGGAGTATTTAGAAGGACACAAGGATCTCTACAAGGACGTCATGATGGACAATCAGCGCCCCTCACATCACGGGTAAGAGGAGACTTTATTGTAAAGGAGAGAGCAGTACGGAGGATCCACCTAGATCCCCCATCATCTGATAAACACATAGAAACAATGGATTCAGTCAGTGTGTGTGTTTCCTACAGATGGATCCAGTCATGGGAACCCACCAGAGAGATGTCCCCGTCCTCTGTATTCCCGGGATTCCACACAGGAAGGTCACACCATCCCTCACCATCAGTAGATGGATCTAGTAATAGGAACCCACCAGAGAGATGTCCCCGTCCTCTGTATTCCCGGGATTCCACACAGGAAGGTCACACCATCCCTCACCATCATCAGGTAGATGTGTAACCAACACTGATGGTTAAGATTTATACAAAAGTGTGTTTGTTTGCAATGAATGTTTTATTATATCTTTCAGAGTGGAATCCTCGGGGATGATAATATTGATGTTAAAGAAGAGTATAAAGAGGAGGATGAGGAGTATGGAGTGATGAAGCAGGTTTCTGAGAGACAGAAGGATCTCTACAAGGACATCATGATGGAGACTTCAAGTAACAGATACCCACCAGAGATGTCCCCGTCCTCTGTATTCTCGGAATTCCACACAGGAAGATCACACCATCCCTCACCATTATCAGGTCAGTGAATAACAATCATTGATGGTTGTGATTTATACACAAGATTGTTTGTTACAATTGATTTTTTATTTAATATTTAGAGTGTAAACTATGAGGATTATAATATTGTTGTCAAAGAAGAGTATAAAGAGGAGGATGAGGAGTATGGAGTGATGGAGGAGTTTTCAGAAGGACAGAAGGATATGATGGAGCCACCTAGTACCAGGAACCCACCAGAGATGTCCCCGTCCTCTGTATTCCCGGGATTCCACACAGGAAGGTCACACCATCCCTCACTGTTACAAGGTTGGTGGGACAGAGCATCTAGAACATGAACTTGTGGAGACAATCTGAATGTTTATAATGTTATTTCTCTTTATTAATGCTCATATTTTACAGATGATATTTTTTCTCTTTCTTGGTTTAGGGTGAAGATCTGAAGGATATAAAAATTGAGGTTAAGTCAGAAGAAGAAGAGGCGTATGTGAGGGATGATCAGCAGTCTATGATAGAAGATGACATAACGTGGACAATTATAGAGGAAGACACTCCTACAGAGATCAGCACAGGTGGGTCATGAACACTAAATCCATTCCTCCACCCATACTGCTCACTGATTGGTCCAGAGTAGGGCGGGGACTGGGTGATATCAGCCTGTAATCCCCTGGTCACTTTCCTGAGCTGTGTTCCCTGTCCTGTATTCCTGGATTTCTCTCGGATAATCTTCCTTCTCTGTGCTGCAGACACAATTTATGTATCTAGACTGGATTTATGGAGGTTCTGGGGTTCAGCTGGCAGCAAAATGTTGATTTTCACCATAGACATTGCTTGACCTAGGCATCTGAGATATACAGTGAGGATCGAAAGTTTGGGCACCCCAGCTAAAAATTTGTATTAATGTGCATAAAGAAGCCAAGGAAAGATGGAAAAATCTCCAAAAGGCATCAAATTACAGATTAGACATTCTTATAATATGTCAACAAAAGTTAGATTTTATTTCCATCATTTACACTTTCAAAATAACAGAAAACAAAAAAATGGCGTCTGCAAAAGTTTCGGCACCCTGCAGAATTTATAGCATGCACTGCCCCCTTTGCCAAGCTGAGACCTGCCAGTGTCATGGATTGTTCTCAGTCATCGTCTGGGAAGACCAGGTGATGTCAATCTCAAAGGTTTTAAATGCCCAGACTCATCTGACCTTGCCCCAACAATCAGCACCATGGGTTCTTCTAAGCAGTTGTCTAGAAAACTGAAAATAGTTGACGCTCACAAAGCTGGAGAAGGCTATAAGAAGATAGCAAAGCGTTTTCAGATGTCAATATCCTCTGTTCGGAATGTAATTAAGAAATGGCAGTCATCAGGAACAGTGGAAGTTAAAGCAAGATCTGGAAGACCAAGAAAAATATCAGACAGAACAGCTCGCAGGATTGTGAGAAAAACAATTCAAAACCCACGTTTGACTGCACGATCCCTCCAGAAAGATCTGGCAGACACTGGAGTTGTGGTACACTATTCCACTATAAAGAGATACTTGTACAAATATGGTCTTCATGGAAGAGTCATCAGAAGAAAACCTCTTCTACGTCCTCGCCACAAAAATCATCGTTTGAACTTTGCAAATGAACATATAGACAAGCCTGATGCATTTTTGGAAACAAGTTCTGTGGACTGATGAGGTTAAAATGGAACTTTTTGTCCGGAATGAGCAAAGGTACGTTTGGAGAAGAAGGGGCACAGAATTTAATGAAAAGAACCTCTGTCCAACTGTTAAGCATGGGGTTGGATCAATCATGCTTTGGGGTTGTGTTGCAGCCAGTGGCACAGGGAACATCTCACGAGTAGAAGGAAAAATGGATTCAATAAAATTTCAGCAAATTTTGGATGGTAACTTGATGCCATCTGTGAAAAAGCTGAAGTTAAAGAGAGGATGGCTTCTACAAATGGATAATGATCCTAAAAACACCTCGAAATCCACGGGGGATTACATCAAGAGGCGTAAACTGAAGGTTTTGCCATGGCCTTCACAATCTTCTGACCTCAACATAATTGAAAATCTATGGATAGACCTAAAAAACAGCAGTGGCTGACAGACAGCCCAGAAATCTCAAAGAACTGGAAGACTTTTGTAAGGAAGAATGGGCAAAGATACCTCAAACAAGAATTGAAAGACTCTTGGCTGGCTACAAAAAGCGTTTACAAGCTGTGATACTTGCCAAAGGGGGCAGTACAAGATATTAACTCTGCAGGGTGCCCAAACTTTTGCAGACGCCATTTTTTTGTTTCCTGTTATTTTGAAAGTGTAAATGATGGAAATAAAATCTAACTTTTGTTGACATATTATAAGAATTTCTAATCTGTAATTTGATGCCTTTTGGAGATTTTTCCATCTTTCCTTGGCTTCTTTATGCACATTAATACAAATTTTTAGCTGGGCTGCCCAAACTTTTGATCCCCACTGTATGCCTTGGGTCTTCTGCCCCATACTCGGGTCTAGCAATATCTCTAAGAGAACCATTCTCCCAGGGCTACTCTGTTGTCTGCTGGTTGTGCCGGATGGAGGGATATGTCTGTATAATCTCAGACCCAAGTCACTGAGTGCAGTCTCAGGAGATGGGAGGCAGCGGTGTGGGACCTCTGCAACTTGTCTCAAGTAGACATTTAAGTTTCCACTGATTGCTGAATACCAATATTATGAGTCCTGACCCTTACATATAATTTATATTGTACATTACTTCTGACCCCTGCACTATATACTCTATGTTGTACATTTCATACTCCTGACCCCTACATTATATACTCTATGTTGTACATTACATAGTCCTGCCTTCTGCTTTCCCCCCTCCCCCCACTGCTATATATACACATAATATGGATTCTCTTTTGTTCCACCCATTTCCTAACAGCTGGACATTTTATATCGGATGATGTGATTGGAGCACAGACTTTTACATGGTGATAATAATGTGATAACATCCTCCAACTTTGGACCCTTAAACAGAAAGTGATAATGAGGGAGGAGTCAATACCCCAATGATGGTGGTCTTCAGGATCAGTCCAGTCTTCATCTTGGTTGTTCTCCCCCCATCCTCACTCTCTGACCTCTGGTGGGGCTCAGCCCCGCTGTTCTTCATGACTAAATCATGGACTAAATAAGGAAGTGCAGTACTTCTTGTGTTGGGAAGATGGCGATGAGTGATAGAGGGGGTGGGGACCCTCGTCCTTATAGTCCTCATCACTGTCCCTCCTATAAAAGACAGTTCTGGTTGTTTCCTCACTCTCTGACTAAGGTCCATGAATAAAGAAATGACCTGGTAGGAGATCAGAGGAGCCATTTCCTAGTTCCCTTAAGGGTGGGAATTGTAAGCTCCTCAGAGACCAAGCTGCCTGATGTGGGCGGAGTCCTGGTTTGGGGGACCCAATCAGCTCCTGTCTAGTAATCCTCTTTGTCTTTGTATTTTAGTCCATGGCCGGGAGATGAGGAAAACCTCCGAGGATTGTCTCACTTTGTCTCCAGACTGGAAAGTAGAAGATGAGGACATCACACAGTATAGTCCAGGAGAAAACCCGGCTCCCTCCAATGTCCATCCGGCACCACCCAGTATAGATGGACCATCGGATTCCTCGTATCCTGAGGAACCTCAGACTGTGCGGGACCGGGCCGGCCTTCCAACAGGGAAGAGGTTCTCCTGTACTGAGTGCGGGAAATGTTTCCATTCCAAATTCAATCTTAATGTCCATAAAAGATCTCACACGGGGGAAAAGCCATTTTCTTGTGCTGAGTGCAGGAAATGTTTTGTCCAAAAATCAGAGCTTGTCACACATCAAAGGTCCCACTCAGGGGATAAACCATATTCCTGTCCTGATTGCGGAAAATGTTTTTCACAAAAGTCCAATATTCAAATCCACCAGAGGTTCCACACAGGTGAGAAGCCATATTCCTGTTCTGATTGCGGAAAATGTTTTTCAGTGAAATCTCATCTTTTCATACATAGAAGGTTTCACACGGGGGAAAAGCCCTATTCTTGTACTGTGTGCGGGAAATGTTTTGTACAAAAATCACATCTTGTCACACATCAAAGGCTTCACACGGGGGAAAAACCGTACTCCTGTTCTGAGTGCGGGAAATGTTTTTCAGACAAGTCCTTTTATCACAGACATCAGAGATCGCACACGGGTGAAAAGCCGTATTCCTGTCCTGAGTGCGAGAAATGTTTTTTCGGACAAGTCCAGTCTTTACACACATCAGATATCTCACACGAAGGAGAAAAAGTATTCCTGTCCTGAGTGCGGGAAATGTTTTTTACATAAGTCACATCTTTATACACATCAGAGATCTCACACAGGGGAGAAGCCGTATTCCTGCCCTGATTGCGGGAAATGTTTTTCAGAGAAGTCCAGTCTTGACAGACATCAGAGGGCTCACACGGGGGAAAAGCCGTATTCCTGTCCCGAGTGCGGGAAATGTTTTTCACAGAAGTCCAGCCTTTACACACATCAGCGACTGCACACAGGAGAGAGAAGCCGTATTCCTGTCCTGAGTGCGGGAAATGTTTTTCAGTGAAGTCCAATCTTTACAGACATCAGAGATCTCACACGGGGAAGAAGCCACTTTCCTGTCCTGAGTGAGGGAAATGTTCCTCACTGAAGTCCTGTCTTCCTGTACATCGGGGTCCCACACAACCCTGGAGGTGTATTAGTGCCTTTAGTGCGGGAAATGTCTTCTAGATGAATGTTGCTGGACATCCCAGCTCTCATGTGGGGAAGAAGCACACCCTGATATACACCTCAGATATACTCCATGGCTGATCTTCATCATGGAAGAAACCGTTCATGGGATCAGAGGTCACCAAAGACATGGATGAAGTATGGGACCGGGTTGGCCATTGATAGCAGGAGAAGAATAAAAATCATTACTTTTCATTGGCTGAGTACATTTTGTGGTGTAAGCGTTCACAAACACATAAAGGTCTGTTTTTTTTAAAAAGATTCCATGTTACAAGCCGTTGTGAATTTATTTTATTTGATCATTGACTTCAGCTGGGGGCCATAATGTTGCATTGCGCTACTTTTACTGATGGAGGCATTTAAAAAAAAATACCACATTTTGGCCACTAGATGGGGCTGCCGGTTATAGAAAATCTCTATGTTAAATGAAATGCAGGTATTTAACTCCGTGTTCCCTGATACTTTCATGACTGCAGCATGGTCGGCTAGTTCTTGCAGGGTGTCCTCCCAGAACCATACCCCCCGTGTGCACGCACGATCTACGGACACAGCTGATCACATGACTAAGGAATGGGCCAATCACAACCGCTTTTACCATGTGACCAGCTGTGTCCAATCACAGCTGATAATGGTGTAAATAGGAAATGCTGGTTATCGGCAGTCTTCTCCTCATGCTGGTAGCATGTGAGGAGAGCCGGTAAGCGGCATTTTACAGGGGGACATCTACACTGATCATCAGGGCACTGATCATTGGTGTCCTGATGATCAGTAGCCCCATCAGTGTGGCCAATAGTGCCCATGTGTGCTGGCAATCAGTGTCCATCAATTGAATCAGTGCCACCTAACAGTACCCATCAGTGCCGTGCCTCATCAGTGCGGCCATAAGTGCCCATGTGTGCTGGCAATCAGTGTCCATCAGTTGAAACAGTGCCACCTAACAGTGCCTCCTATCAGTGCAGTCTCATCAGTGTGGCCAATAGTGCCCATGTGTGCTGGCAATCAGTGTCCATCGATTGAATCAGTGCCACCTAACAGTTCCCATCAGTGCTGCCTATCGGTGCAGTCTCATCAGTGCAGCCAATAGTGCCCATGTGTGCTGCAAATCAGTGTCCATCGGTTGAATTAGTGCTGCCTAACAGTGCCAATCAGTGCTCAATAACAGTGGCCATCAGTGCCACCTATCAGTGCTGCCTCATCAGTATGGCCAATAGTGCCCATGTGTGCTGGCAATCAGTGTCCATCGGTTGAATTAGTGTCACCTATCAGTGCTGCCTCAGTGCCCATCAGTGCTGCCTAACAGTGCCAATCAGTGCTCAATAACAGTGCCCATCAGTGCCACCTATCAGTGCAGCCTCATCAGTGTGGCCAATAGTGCCCATCTGTGCTGGCAATCCATGTCCATTGATTGAATCAGTGTCGCCTAACAGTGCCCATCAGTGCTGCCTATCGGTACAGTCTCATCATTGCGGCCAATAGTGCCCATGTGTTCTGGCAATCAGTGTCCATCGGTTGAATCAGTGCTGCCTATCAGTGCTCAATAACAGTGCCACCTATCAGTGCAGCCAATAGTGCCCATGTGTGCTGGCAATCAGTGTCCATCGGTTGCATCAGTGCCAACTAACCATGCCCAGCAGTGCAGCTTCATCAGTGCCACATATCAGTGCTCATCCATGAAGGAGAAAAATTACTTATTTACAAATCTTTATAACAGAAACTAAGAAAAACATTTTTTTTTCTAAATTTTTGGTCTTTTTTTTTTAGTTTGGCAAAAAATAAAAACCCCAGAGGTGATTAAATACTCCCAAAAGAAAGCTCTATCTGTCTCAAAAAAAAAGATAAAAACTTAGTTTGGGTACAGTGTTGCATGACCGCGCAATTGTCATTCAAAGTGTGAGAGCGCTGAAAGCTGAAAATTGGTCTGGGCAGGAAGGGGGTAAAAGTGTCCGGTAGGCGAGGGGTTAAGCCAATTTTTTGCTTGCTTTGAGGATCAAAATGTGAGATGTGGAATCCGTGGTAAAGAACCTGTGGAGGGGCAGCACATATTTGTATTAAGTCACATAAATTGAGGAAGATTGACACCAGAAAGGCAGCAGGACCGGATGCGTGTCAGGTTGCTGGCCTTCACAGAAACTTTAAAGCATGCTGTTAGACGGGTTAGTTCGGTTTGTTGGCAGGCTCCTTGGTAAGTTAGCTGGGAATTTTTCTCTTTTGTTGTTTGACATGCGTCGTTCTTCCGTGTGCTCCTTGCTGTGAAGGTCAGTTATAGACTGGGGCAGTGGCCATTTTTTGTACTGTTGAAACTGTTGGTGAGGGGGTGCATGGGACACCTTATCTGCCATTGTGCTACATGCTGGGTGTCCAATGCACTCCTGTACCTTTAAGGAGGGGTGGGCTCCCTCAGGTCCATCTACCCCTGGTCTATCCATTAAATACATGTGCCTCTACTATGGGGGCTCTTAAAATTGAAGAGTTAGGAACTACAGAATACTGGGATGCCATGACGTGGCTCTGAAGCTTACGCATGTATTTGCAAATGTGTGCTAACTAAACCCCTGTTTTTATTGCATACTGTTTGTGACTTTTGGGGGTGGGGGGACCCCTGTATCATCCCCCCAAATTCCTCTTATGTGTAACCCACCCTGTGCTTGTTAGGGGTACAGGGTGGTCTGTCCTGATATGGTGTAGACATGTATAGGTGAGGTGGGGTGGGGGGCAGGGGCGGACTGACAACTCATGGGGCCCCCGGGCAATAGGGGATTATGGGGCCCCTGTGTCCTTGCCCAAACTCAAAAAAGCCCATGAAAAAGGTACCAGGGGCATCTCATGGGGCCCCCTACTGACCCCGGGCCCTCGGGCAGTGCCCGAGTTTCCAAATGGTCAGTCCGCCCCTGGTGGGGGGTTGTCCATTGTTCACTTCCTGTCTGAAGAGGAGTTTGGTCCTGTCTTATTTCCTGTTTGGTCAGCGGTGGTGTCCGGGGATCGGTGTTCGGACAGGGAATCGGGAGTATAACGGAAATACCCTAGGGCAGTCGGGGTCCGGTTCCAGTACACTGTTAGATGGGTTAATTTGGTTTGTTTGCAGGATGGTTGGCAAGTTAGAGCTGGGAATTTTTCTTGTTTGTTTTTTGACATGCGTCGCCCTTCCACGTGCTCCTTGCTATGAAGGCCAGTTATAGACTGGGGCAGTGGCCATTTTTTGTACTCCCATACAGGTGTAGTGCACCCCTGTAGAAGCTGCTGGCAAATACCTTCCTAATTACCCACTTAAAGCAGACACAGCCAGGCACACAGCATTTTCTTCATTTTTCCATCGGCTCTGAAAGCAGTCTTCTGCGGACATCATTTCCCGTCCAACACCATCTTGCTTGGAGCCTTTATAAGATGGTCACCCCTGAGAGCCAATCATGTCTGAGGAAGAATCTGAAGCTTTGAAATATGTTACCACCCACATGCATGGAATCACGTTCCGTTCCAACACCATCTTGCGCTCCACACTGGTTTCCAAGGTGGTCGGCCACTTCCTGAGTCTTAGCTATCACCACCCAGTTGTTCTGCAGCTGCTGGAGACCATTAGAACCTTATTGGAGTCCAATTTGGATGTGTAGACGTGTCTTTTTTAGCCTACAAATCAGTGGGTTGGATCAGAAAGCAGTCTAGGGGTTCTTTTTTAAGGTTTTTATTTTTGGGGAACAATAAACTGGGATCCCAAAATAGCACATAACAGCGTGCCTGTAGTACTAACAGCATACAAAAAAACAGAGGAATGTCTGAATTGGGGGTTGTCCTTTTTCCGCCTTGCTTGGAGCCTTTATAAGATAGTCACCCCCGAGAGCCAATCAGGTCTGAGGAAGAATCTGAAGCTTTGAAACGCGCATGCATGGAATCACGTTCTCCCACGGGCATCACCTCCGGTCCAACACCATCTTGGGCTCCACACTGGTTTCCATGGTGGTCGGCCACTTCCTGAGTCTTAGCTATCACCGCCCAGTTGTTCTGCAGCTGCTGGAGACCATCAGACCATCACCTCCAAGAGTCAATCAGGTCTGAGGAAGAATCTAAATCTTCGAAATGTGTTACCACCCACATGCATGGAATCACGTTCTCCCAGGGACATCATCTCCAGTCCAACACCATCTTGGGCTCCACACTGGTTTCCAAGGTGGTCAGCCACTTTGAGTCTTCGCTATCACCACCCAGTTGTTCTGCAGCTGCTGGAGACCATCAGACCATCACCCCCGAGAGTCAATCAGGTCTGAGGAAGAATCTGAAGCTTCGAAATGTGTTACCACCCACATGCATGGAATCACGTTCTCCCACGGACATCATCTCCGGTCCAACAACATCTTGGGCTCCACACTGGTTTCCAAGGTGGTCGGCCACTTCCTGAGTCTTAGCTATCACCACCCAGTTGTTCTGCAGCTGCTGGAGACCATCAGACCATCACCCCCAAGAGTCAATTAGGTCTGAGGAAGAATCTGAAGCTTCGAAATGTGTTGCCACCCACATGCATGGAATCACGTTCTCCCACGGACATCATCTCCGGTCCAACACCATCTTGCGCTCCACACTGGTTTCCAAGGTGGTCGGCCACTTCCTGAGTCTTAGCTATCAACACCCAGTTGTTCTGCAGCTGCTGGAGACCATCAGAACCTTATGGGAGTCCAATTTGGATGTGTAGACGTGCCTTTTTTAGCCTACAAATCAGTGGGTTGGCTCAGAAAGCAGTCTAGGGGTTCTTTTTTAAGGTTTTTTTTTGGGAACAATAAACTGGGATCCCAAAATAGCA